TTCTCTCTCTCTTTCTTTCTCTCTCTTTCTTTCTTTCCTCTCTCTCTTTCTCTTCTTTCTCATCTCTCTTCTCTCTTTCTCTCTTATCTCTCTCTCTTCTCTCTCTCTTTCCTCTCTCTCTCTTCTCATTCTCTCTCTCTTCTCTCTCTCTCTCTCTCTCTTCTCTCTCCTCTCTCTCTCTCTCTTTCTCTCTCTCTCTCTTTCTCATTCTCTTTCTTTCTTTCTTTCTTTCTTTCTTTCTTTCTTTCTTTCTTTCTTTCTTTCTTTCTGTCTTGCCTGTCTCGGATCTTGTTCTGTAGACCTGGCTGGCTGTGAACTCATAGAGATCCACCTGGCTCTGCCTCTCAAGTCCTGGGATTAAACAAGTGCACCACCACTGCCTGGCTCGGTGATTTCTTGAAATGCATATGGATAATGTTCCCCAATCTAAACACAAAAATAGTTTATAGATTCAAAAAAGACACCCTAATATGTATTTTCAAAATATTTATTTTCTCTGAAAGTATATTTATTTCAAATTTAAGGATACAAAATGCTAAGCATGGGGCTGGAGAGATTGCTCAGAGGTTAAGAGCATTGATTGCTCTTCCAGAGGTCCTGAGTTCAATTCCCAGCAACCACATGGTGGCTCACAACCATCTGTAATGAGATCTGATACCTTCTTCTGGCATGCAGACATACATACAGGCAGAACACTGTGTACATAATAAATAAAATAAATGTTTAATAAACAAAATGCTAAGTGTGTAGAAAAATTTAAGGATATTTGCTGTGAAGAAGATTGGTCATAATTAGGGTATGTAAGAGAAAAATCCAAATCTATCAACATACAAAAGAAAGAATATTAACGAATTGTCAAATGGTTTATTTGCCAGAAAGCTACATGATCACTATTAATGCATTTCATAAAATAGTTCCAAATGCATAAAGAAAATCAATGACAGAATTGTAGGAAGCGAATAGACAGTTAGAAGCAAATGCAGGGAAGTTTCAACACCCTTCAATTAGTAATCTTGGAAATAAGACAGGACATTAATGAGTGAGAAAGATGACCATGATCAGTACGGAAAATCAGCCACACTTAGGAGGCCTGCAGAGAACCATCTACACAAGAGCAGAAGTTGTCTGTACTTCTCAAAACTTCAAGCAGCATGCTCCAGTGTGGTCAAGTCAGAAGTCAGCCTGGCCTAGTGACATAAGCTTTTAATCCCAGCATTCAGAGGCTGGCACAGGTGGATGTCTAAGTTCAAGGCAAGCCTGGTCTACATAAATGGTTCCATAACTGACAGGCCTACACAGAGAAAGTATCTCAAAAGGACAAAGAACAACAAACAAGCAAAGAAACCAAAACCAAACCAAAAAAAAATGTTTTTCTTTTAATTTAAACCTAATTATTTATTGATTCCTTGGAAATTTCACATTATCTCACCAATCCCACTCACCTCCCAGTCCCTCCATATACACTGCTACCCCTGGAGTATGTTCCACCAAAAAATTAATTAAAAACTAATCAAAACAAACAAAGAAAAACCCATCCATCTGCTCCATCTTCTCAACACCCCTTCATTTATCCTAGTGGCAACAGGAACTGCAGTGTGTCACACAGTATACCCCTTTTGTCCAATCGGCTGCACCCACAGAATGTTCATTGCAATAAGTCATTGGCCTGGTTCAAGGCCTCTGGAACACCATCATCACCGGACCCTCATCAAAATTCCTCTCAGATAACCTGTTTTTGCCCTGACGCATGGAGATTCTGTGGTTATCATTCTACAGGACCAGTCTCTTTTTATACTTCAGCAAATCATAGATGGATCAGCTGTTAGGGTGGGACAATCAAAGGCACAGGATATGGGTCTGAGTGGTAGTTGATATGGTTGCTCTGGGTTATTGGGATCACCCCCTAAGGTGAGGACCAGAGCCAGATCTCCTAGGCCCATGACATTGGGGCCAGCTCTACCACACCTGCGGTGAAGGGTATCGCTCCTGAGTGCTCGGATCACCTCTCCCATGGTGGGGTAGCACCATCTCTCCTCCTATAGTGTCCAGCAAGGGACAGGGACAGCTATCCCAGGGCCAGTGAGGGACAGGCTGGCTTAGCATGGCCCTTGGATTTCAACATGAATGGTTAGACCCCCTATGGTAACACCAGGCATGAAATCAGCCCAGACCCTGGCTACTGTTGCACCAGAGACCCAGACATGGCCTATGGCAGCACCCTGGGCCAGGCCCCATGTGGATTGGCATGGTCCCTGTGACAGCAAGGCCATTGGAAACCAACATGGCACCAGGTGGTGGCCCAGACTCCTGGCATCGGCATTGCCTTTGATTGTATCAGGAGCCACAGACATCAACACAGACCCTGTTTTCAGTAGGGAAACAGACCCAGACATGGCCCTCAGCATCTATCCTATCCCAGATGACACCATGGCCCCAGTAGCAGCATGGCCCTCAGACACCAAATGGACATAGCATTCGGTCTTGACCCTAGGCATCCATTTGGCCATTGGTTGTACTGTGGGCCACAGACATCATAGACCCTGGGCATGGTAGGACCATGGATCCACACAAGGTCACAGGCAGCAGCCTAGACTCAGATGTTACTATGGCCCCTGGTAGCACCACAGGCCACACCTGATTTGTAAGGCTCCAGTGGCACTGTGGCAGTCAGACACCAACATGGCCCCAGGTATCTACATGGCCTTCAGTGGTATCTGGAGTCACTGATATCAACCAAGACCCTGGCTACAATAGGGTCACAAACCCAGACATGGCCCCTTGCAACAGCTTGGGCTGGGATGTCACCATGGCCCTGGGTGGCAGCACAGGCCAGGCCATCCAGATTAACATGGCCCTAGTGGAAGGGTGGCCCTCAGAGACCAACATGGACTCAGGTGTTTGACCTGACTCCAGTCATCCATACAGGCTTCAGTGGTTACTGAAGCCATGGACATAAACACAGATCCTGGCTGCTTCAGGACCATGGACACAGACATGGCCCCTGACAGCAGTCCAGGCCAGGATGTCAGCATGTCTCCCAGTGGCAGCACAGGCCACTCCAATCAACATGGCCCCAGTGGCAGCATGGCCCTTGGACAACAAAATGGTTACAGGTGGCAGTCCACACACCCTGGCCTTGGTGGCAACATGGGTCATGGAAGTCAACATAGACCCTGGCTGTCACAGACCCACATATGGCCATACCCAGTGGCCCAGGTCCAAAACAATTCTTTACTCCTAGTAAATAGCTATGTTTAAAAGGTGTCTTCTCTCCAGGCAGTGGTGGTGGTGCATTCCTTTAATCCTTGCACTCAGGAGGCAGAGGCAGGCTGATCTCTTCGAGTTCAAGGCCAGCATGGTCTATAGAGAGAAACCCTGCTCAACAAATGAGCAACAAGAACAAAGAAATCTCCAAGGGTATATGTGAATTCATTGTTAGATACTGAAGAATAATGGGGAAGTGTTGACTCCAAGACTACACAGAGAAACCCTGTTTTGAAAAACCAAAAACCCAAGTGTCTTCTCCAAGAACCTGAAATGCTAACAGCAACAGTAGACAGAAAACAGAAGAATACACAAAAGACATACGAACACTAATTCACTGCTGGCATGTTCTCATTCAAACATATGAAGAAATATAAAAGATGTTTGTAAGATTGCAAATAACAAAATCCTACAGGCATTTTTCATGTAAATGGAGAAAATGTTCCTAAAATTTATAAAATTATGCAAAACCATGAAAAGGTCAAGAATTTTTAGAGAAGGATCAAACTCAGAGTTAATTTTAAAATATATTAAAATTATAGCAATGCAAAAACATGGAAAATTGACATGAAGACAATACTTGGTTTATCGATGGGAAGATAATGCAAATGGAGTTTAATACTCTGCAAAAATATTAAGCAAATCTTATCAAAATTCTGTTGGCATTATTTTAGGAACTGGAGAATTTAACTTTAGATTTAGAGAACATGAAGTGACTACAAAATGCTCCAAAACTCTAAGAGCAGGAAAACCCAAAGGCATCAATTGTTCTAATCAAACATTACATTAAAATTATGATGAAAACATTTAATATTGGGGCCAGGGGAGAGGGCTCAGCAGTTAAGATCATTGGCTATTCATACAGAGGACCCAGGTTCATTTTCCAGCACTCACATGGCAGCTAACAACTGTCTATAACTCTAAGATCTGACACCCTCATACATACATGCAGGCAGAAACATCAATTCATATAAATTAAATAAATTAAAAACAATATTTAATATTCATATGAAGATGCAGTCAGTGATGTAAATGAGAGAGGGAGAGCATACTTCATGCAAAGTCAATTAAAGTTGTGTAGATGTAACTGACCTTCTTAATAAATAAGAAACACAGAACCAATGCAAAGAAGAAAGCCAAGAGGTCAGAACTAAGAGCTAAAACCTTACCCTTCCTCCTGCAGTGGTCCTACCTCTCCGAACCAGAGCTACCCCCTGTGTTAAAGTCTTTATATAGAGTTCCTGTTCTGCCTTCTCATTGGTTGTAAACCCAACCACATGACCGCCTCGTCACGGCCTGTCTGTATAGGCCTCCAGGTTTTCCATGATTGGTATTGAGATTAAAGGCATGTGTATCCAATAATGGCTGTATCCCTGAACACACAGAGACTTACCCAGCTCTGCCCACCAAGTGCTGGGATTATAAGTATACGCCACCACTGCCCTGCTTTCCTATGGCTTGCTAATAGCTCTAACCCCCGGGCAACTTTATTTATTAACATACAAACAACATTTTAATACAAATAAAATATCATCATAAAGTTGTATTTGTCTCTGAGTATTAATTCTTACATAGAGTCTTCTAATTCCTACAATAGGAATATTCTGATGTTATTCTCAGTGGAATTCTCTCGAAACATTTTCAATGAAATATGATTTTGCAAGACCAATTTCATGTCCTGTTTCTACTATCACTTGAACCCTACCCCCACCCCTTCCTCATTCCTGCTAACATACCTGGATCCTTTGCTACTGTCTCCTCTCTCTTCACCATCAAGGGCTCTTTGTTCTGCTTCACAGTTGAGCAGGACTGGCTGAGCAATCGGAGACCGGAACATGGGAAAGAGATTCTTCAGAAAGCAGAAAATAAGTTCAAGTCATTAAAGAAAGAAATTGAAGGTTTCAGAAGATGGAAATATGTCCAGTGCATGGATTGATTGGAATAATATAGGAAACATGACCATCCTAACAAAAGCAAACAACAGATTCAAATCCCAACATAATTCTTCATGTATTTCTTTTTGCTTCTGGTGTTTTAAGACAGGGTATCTCTTTGTAGCCCTGGCTATCCTGGAACTCACTTTGTAGATCAGGCTGGCCTTGAACTCAGAGATCAGCCTGCTTTACTTCCAGAGTACTGGAATTAAAGGCATGCACCACCACTGCCAGACATCTTAACAGATCTTAAAGGGACAATTTTCAGCTTCATATGGAAACACAAGAACCCAGGACAGCCAAAAAACAAACCTGAATAATAACAGAACTGTGGGATCTTGCCCTACAAAGCTACAGCAATAAAAACTGCACAGTATTGGGAAAAACAGACACACTGATCAACTGCATAGTTATTGGGCTAAAAATCAGTTAAAGAATGAAATATTGTTGGGCTCCCTGCTCCAAGATTTTAGCCTCAAATCAGATGGTTTCATTGATATAACATACAGAGAGACAGAATGAAGTACTTTGGAGATTGCAGAAGACAGAACAGAACTGTGCTATAAAATTGTGTAAGTGACACATATTCTCCCAACTGTGCTGCATCAGTGAATGACAACTGAACTCATGGTTGGACCCTTATGATTCAATGTCTGGGAAAAATTTATTTCTCTACACAAAAATGTAATGATTTATTAGAAAAAAACTTCACAAAAGACTGCTTTTCCCTTCACTGTATAGAATGCCTTTTCCAAAGCCCCACATCCCATGGTGCTGTAATTCAAACTAAATCCTTGCTTTTATCAGGGAGGGCTGGTGTTCTAATCCATTCATTGCTCAGAATTCCCATATCTCAACTTCTCAGCCTCTCCTTGCACAAATTCTGTGGTTTGGGCTCACGTGTTACACACATGCAAACCAGAAAGAACTAGTAAATAGAGTGAAATTCCAGGTCTGATATAGGGTGTCCACAATCAGCTCAAGGATCTTCAGGAATGGTTTCATGCAATTGAGCCTTGCTTAGGGATTATTTTGAACACAACTTAGTCTATAGAGAACTTATTATTATAAACACTCTTTAGAAGACAAAAATGTTTATTTATCCCTAAGTTGAGAAAAACTTCATTTAGTTATTTTTTCTTTTGGTATTTTCACCTTAAAGGGACATCATGAACTTCATTAATTTTTAAAATATAGCATTTTCTATTTTCCCTTTTATTAAAAATAGATACTTTTCTCAGGCAATATTTTCTGATTATAGTTTCTCCTCCCTCTACTCCTCCCAGGTCCTCTCCACCTTTCATCCCATCCAGATCAACTCCCTTTCTGTCTCTCATTAAAAAAGAATGGGCTTATAAAAGGCAATAACAAAACTTAGCAAAATAAAATATAATAAGCTAAAACAAAACCACCACTTCAAAGTTGGATGTGGTAAATAAACCACAACAACAAAAGAGCCCCAAGAGAAAGCACAAGAATTTGAGAGCCACTGGTTCACACACTCAGGAGTCCCATAAAAACACTAAATTGAAAGCTACAACATATACATAGCAGATCTGATGAAGATCTATGTTGGACCTCTGCTTGCTGCTTCATTCTCTGTGAGTTCATATGGCCTTTGCTCAGTTTATTTAAAGATCTTGTTTTCCTGGTATCCTCCATCCCTTCTGTCTCTTATATTCTTTCTACCTCCTCTTCTCTGAGGTTCCCTGGGCTTTGAGAGGTGGGATTTGCAGGAGACAACCCATTTAGAGCTCTGTGTTCCAAGATCTCTCTTCTCTGCTTAAGGTATAGCTATTAGTCTCTCTATTTGTTCCCATATGCTGCAGGAGGAAGCTTCTCAGATGATGGCTGAATACAGTACAGATCTATCAGTACAGCAACATATCATTAGGAGTTATTTTGTTGTTGTTGTTTAGACCAGAAGTGTTTTGGTTTTTACCATAGGTCTCTAGCTATGTGGACTCTGGTTCTTGGTCATCTGAGCAGTGTCAGGTATGGATTCAGTTTCCTGAGTTTGGGCCCTAAGTCACTTCAGACATTGGTTGGTTTCTTCTACAAGCTTTGTGCCACTGTTGCTCAAGCACAGTTAGCAGGCAGAACAGATTGTCGATCAAAGGCTTTGTGGTTGGTTCAGTGTTCATATTTCTGTTCCAGTAGCCTGTAATGTACCTTAACCATAGCAAGAACACTAGAACATAGTGGTGCAGGTTCTATGAAGGCACCCACTTGACCTCTCCATGTTCAATGTGTTGTGTAGATCTTATCTTCAGCATTGAGTCCTTTCTTGTTTGTGGAGAGCAACCTATTCTCTTGCTAATAGCCTAGATTGTTTGGGAATTTCCGTGGGACCCCTTTAGCCAACAATTCAGTGTAGTGTATATGATAGTTGTATTTCTAGTTTGGTGAGAAATGTGTAGACTGTTTTCCAAAGTGGCCTCTCTAGTTTACACTCTCACAAGCAGTGTATAATACTGTCACATTCATCATATTCATGTCAGAATTTGTTATTTATCCTGGTGATGGCCATTCTGACTGGGGTGAGTTGGAATCTTAAAGGAGATTTACTGTGCATCTCCCTATTAGCTGGGCATATAGAACTTGTTGCCAACATGAAATGAGAAGTGTAGCTAGAGTTTTCCTGCCTGGCCCACAGTCAGGACAAATCTCTCTCACCTGCCAGTCCCACAGCCGCTCAAACCCGACCAAGTAAACACAGACATTTATATTGGTTACAAACTGTATGGCCGTGGCAGGCTTCTTGCTAACTGTTCTTACAGCTTAATTAATCCATTTCCATTAATCTATACCTTGCCACATGGCTCGTGGTTTACCTGCATCTTCACATGCTGTTTCTCATCATGGCGGCTGGCAGTGTCTCTCTGACTCAGCCTTCCACTTCCCAGCTTTATTCTCCTCCTTGTCCCGCCTATACTTCCTGCCTGGTCACGGGCCAATCAGTGATTTATTTGCCAACCAATCAGAGCAGCACATTTGCCATACAGAACATCCCACAGCACTTCCCCCCCCCCTTTTTTTTTTCAAAAAGGAAGGTTTTAACTTTAACAAAGTAAAATTACATATAATTTGGGAATTTGGGCGTAGCTTCTCTTACTACTTCCTGCTGGAGGGGGGCGTTGTATCTTATGGGGACACAAAGAATATTTTAGGATTATGGAGTAGTCCGTGAGGGTATATCGTCTGAGCCAGTTGCCTTGAAACCATTCTGGATGTTGGATCATCTGGGCCATGGTGTCATCGGACACCTTTCAGGGGGTCTTGGCTGGTCAAACCTGATGTATCTTAATCTGGAACAAATCCATAGCCTCTGGCTTTCTGTGGAAACAAAAGCAGAGTCTCCTTTCCAAAGCAACATATCCTTATATCCAAACTTTGAAGTCAAGGTACCTTTAAAATATACATTTTGGCATAACTCAACAACTTTTACAATCAAATGTTTTTCTGCAGTTAAAAATCCCAAAGACAACACAATCCAGATTCTCTGTGTAATATTCATCTTTACGTGGCTTATTTTATATTAATTTTACTGTCTCTTTAAAGACTTTATTTTTTAAAACTATGTATTTGTTTATATAACTGTATATATCACCTTTTTTGTCTCTTTCAAGCCTATGTATATTTTACACACATTGTAAACTATTACATCTGAATCTGTCTTATTGTGAATCTATTGCCTTAAACTGCAGCAGCTGTGGCTGCTGGCTCCGCCCACCTCAGCTTCTCAACATGGCGGTGGTTTACCACCAGCTCTGGGAGCTATCGTGGGTCTATGCTTTTATCCAAGCAGTGTGTAGCCCAGAAACCTCTTTTTTTTTTTGTTTTGTACTAGAAAAGGCTAAATCCACCATGCAGCTTAATGTGCCACTTGCAGAGGCCTCACTCCCGCCATAGGCAGGTTGAGCGTGCACGCTAGGAACCCACCAGTAGCTCAAATCGACAGCTGCCGCTCATTTGAGAGAGACAATTAGGAAGCTGTTTTTAGCTCCGTTTTAGAATCTTTTTTCTCAGTTTTTAGGTGGAAACTCTTGCCACCACGTTGGACGCCATTTGTAGCTAGAGTTTTCCTGCCTGGCCCACAGTCAGGACAAATCTCTCTCACCTGCCAGTCCCACAGCCGCTCAAACCCGACCAAGTAAACACAGAGACTTATATTGGTTACAAACTGTATGGCCGTGGCAGGCTTCTTGCTAACTGTTCTTACAGCTTAATTAATCCATTTCCATTAACCTATACCTTGCCACATGGCTCGTGGGTTTACCTGCATCTTCACATGCTGTTTCTCATCATGGCGGCTGGCAGTGTCTCTCTGACTCAGCCTTCCACTTCCCAGCTTTATTCTCCTCCTTGTCCCGCCTATACTTCCTGCCTGGTCACGGGCCAATCAGTGATTTATTTGCCAACCAATCAGAGCAGCACATTTGCCATACAGAACATCTCACAGCAGAGAAGTACCCAACTAACTGCAAGGCCTAATCAGTAGACGTGAGTATACAAGCGCAGCTGATGCCTACTGACTTTAAATACTGCTAGCAACTATATTGGAAACTCTAAAATAAATGGGTAAATATCCTGATTTATAACACATACCAAAATTACACCAACATGAAATACTGGATAATTAAGCAGCATCAACAGTGAAGCAGCAATTAATGCTCCTCATTCAAAAAAAGACAGAGAAGTAGATTGATTCATCACAGAATTATGTCAGAATTTCAAAGAATAATTGATACTGAAGCTACTTAAAGTATCCCTTGATGTAAAAATAAGGAAAGGCTTCCAGACTCTTTTTGAAGCTAGTGTTACCTGATTCCAAACCAGATAAAGACATGAAAATGAAATTGCACACTGTTGTGGTCATTTTAATTATTAAGATTATTATTGTTGTTGTTATTTGATGTTTACCTGGAATAGTTCTTATTATACACACTCTCATCCCCAACTCCCTATAATCCTGTTCCATAGTTCCAACTAATCTCTCTCTGTGTCTCTCCCTCATGTTCACTTCTATTCATTTTGGTTTTGACCCACCAAGATTAACCAGGACCATATGTGAAAATGTGGGTTTGGGATTTTATGTGTCAGAAGATTCCAGAGAGGAGACACAATTAAGACAGTGATTCTCCGTTCCTAAAATCTGTCCATAGTCACAGCTGAGAGATAAAGGATGGGGTCCTGTGAGTCTCTCCCCTTCCTAAACTGATTGTGGCTATGGCTGGTCTTGAGTGAGGCCAGTGCAGATGAATACATTTGCTCTGGATTACTGATTACTATAGTTGTGTGGAGTCTGGAGATATTGGAAGGTTATGCCCATCCCCCTCTTCCCCTATTTCCTTCCCACCTCCTCTTCCTCAATATTCCCAGAGCCATAGATGACATGCTGTAACTGACTTGTTTAGGGCTGTGGCCATACACATTGCTTATTTTCTGCATCTTGGACAGCCAAAAAGTTTCTACGTTCACCACTGAGTTTTCAAAAGGAATTTTCTATGCTTTATATAAAAGCACCTTTAGCATGCTTTCCAGGAGACAAACTTGTTTCTGTTAGTAAATCCACAACTTCACCATTTATCAGTGAAAGCAGGATGAATTCAGCACTAGCTGTTAATGGACTGACTGACCACTGACTTCCTGAGATATCCATTTCCTTTCAAAATCCTGGGTTCTTCAAATGTCTTTCCCCAAGTCAATATTGCTAATAGTGTAATTCTGGATATTTGACCAGCAATAGTGGAGGTCTGTGAAGGATAAAGATGGCTTTTTAGTGAGACTTCATTTGCATAGTGGTGGAAATGATTATCCAGCTTCTCAGTAAAGCTCTCCAGAGTAAGTTACTGTTTCAAAAATTTAGAATATTTCATATAAGAGTAGAATGTGCAGTTGGGATTTCACTTTAACCTTTATTATTTTCTTTGACTGAGCCATCCAGCTCCTCTGCCTTGTTTCAAGCCTAATATTCTGTCTCCTACCTGATTGACCTTTTTGAGTTATTATTAGGCTTATTGCATTTTTCATTTCTTGTCTCATTTCAGTTTGGGATTTTTTGTTTTGTGTACTTAACTATTTAATGAATTCATTTTTCATGACCTTCATTGTCCTCATTTCCTACAGGCATTATTAGCTAGTGTTTTCTTGCCCACGAATCATTTTGTTCCTTTCCTGTTTGAGTTGATTCCCATGCTTTATATGCTTTTACCTCCTTGAACATGACTCATCTTTTTGAGTTCTGTGTATTGGATATCGTTTAAATTGCTCTCCTTAGGGGTTACAGATATGGCTTGTTATTTGAGGCAAATGCCTTTTATCTTAGTTTATATTAATTTATTGAGAATGGGTTATGTTGAGAAAGGAATTTGAGAATCAGAATTTAGGGTGTTGTCTTTTGCTGTGCGTTTTTAATCCAGGGAGGCTGCTATTCCAAGAAAAGCTAGGTGGGATAATTTGTATCTCATGGGGTCAGAACACAGGGTTAGAAACCGGAGTGCAGCGTCCTCCTAGATCCAGTTCTAGTTCAGGCTGGCAGCGAGCATGTGGGGAGACTGTGCAAAGAGGGTCCAGGGCAGCCTGACAGCTGGAGCTATGTAGAAGGCAGCCTGAGACTGAGTGGAAGGGACAGATCCCCAATGGGCGGGGACACCTGTCTGATCACTGGAGTTTAGGTGGGGCGCTGGAGAGGTTGTAAATTAAGAAAAAGAGCCCCGGAAGGCGGGTTTAGAGGAAACGCATGACTGGAAGCGGGGTGTATTGGGCGGGATCAGGAGGTGCCGCTCCAAAGAACTAGGCTGAAGTGCTAGGAAATTTCACCATTCCCCGTTTGACTCTGGGAGTACAGAGGTCCAGAACTGCATAAGAAAGACCCGGCCGGGTATTCGGGACCTGAAACTCCCGGGAGCCGCAGTCGCCGCGCGGGGCGGCCTGGGAAAGTCACCAGTCAGCAGCGCAGTGGCGGGAACCGCAGCCCGGCGGCCCTGGAACCTCCCAGGTCAGAGGAGCTGCGGGGCTGGGACACGGGAGGGAAGAAGGGACCGGGGTGTGCTCGCCGAGGCTGCTCAGAAGGACACTGTCAGCCTCCGCTGGCTTACCAGGGGGCAGTGACGGAGGCGGCGGCCAGGTGCGGTCATTTCCACTCACCATAAGCTGAGTGCTTTCCTATGTGCCACGTGCACCCCTCAAATGTGTTAGTCCATCACAGATCTCTTGCTCCTCGCTTGCTCTGTTACCTATTCTCTGTCTGTCTGTCTGTCTGCCTGCCTGCCTCTCTCATGTCCCCACTCCGAGATGGCCTTTCGCTCTTTTGCTCATCCTCCTCCCTAATAAACCTCTTGCACTAGACCTGTTGCATGTGGCATGCTCTCTTAGCGGCCCACCCTAGTCGGCTACCAGAGGTACCCCGTTTTCCACCGCTTTATTCTTACAGACACAGCTTTCCAAATCTGTTGATCTTTCGGATGTCGGTAAGTTGGAGATCCCAGGAAGTGGATCTTACAATGATTTTTTTTTTCTTTTCACTTATCTTACTGTCTCCAGACTGTCATAAAATAATTCTTAAAATAATCTAGTAGAGTATTTGCATCGTCTGTTGTTTGCAAACAGGGTCCTTTGCTATTATGGCAGTTTCAAAGCTCCTGGAATAAAATTCACCCATGCTTTCTAACTCTCCATTTTTACAACTTTCTTCTTCGTGAGAGTGACCTTTGACCCCGAGACTAGGCATCCTCAGACAGCCCAATATGCATGTTGTTCGAGTCTATCCACACCACACTATTTTAAAGTTAGTAAACTCACTTTAGATGAAAACAAAATTATAAAACATCTTTTGAATATTTTTGATCATTCACCTGTATCAGAAAAATGTTTCCTTGATTGAAGAAAAGAACTCTGCCCATGTACAAGTGCCAAACTGTTGATTTTTACTTTAGAGTTTGTTGACATTCAGTGCAGTGACTATGGACTTTTTATAGGAGGAGTGGGAATGACTTGACCCTGCTCCCAGGGCAATTTGCAGAGATCTCCTTTGTCGAACTGCAGTAGTCTGGATTCCGAGGGTGAGAATAATCTTTTGCCAACTCCTTGCTCCTGCCCAGGGTTCCTGGGAAAACTACTCTGCGTGGGTGTGAGCTGTGTGTGAATGAGTCTCACATCTCACAGAGTAAACTGAAACCCTTAGAGAAAGAGACATTTTTCTTGATGTTTTCTCTCTCCTTCATACTTATCTTTTTGTCAGGTGTTAGCGAATTTTCTTTTTGTTCCATGCAGAGTTCCAGGTGCTTTCTGAAGACTTTCTTCTACGCAGGCTCACATTGCTCAGTCAGTCCTGCTCACCTGTGCATCAGTACAAAGAGCCCTGGATGGAGAAGAGAGAGGAGACAGTAGCAAAGGATCCAGGTGTGCTAGAGGAGTTTAGAAAGGGGTGAAGAGATGAGGAAGGGCTCAAGTGACAGTAGCACCAGAACATGATATTGGTTTTGCCACATTCTATTTCATTCTAATTGAGTCTTGAGAATTTCTCTGAGAATAATCTCAAGATTGTCATATTGTAGGCGTTTGATGACTGTATGTGGAAGTATTAATACTTACAGGCAAATCCAGTTTTCTTTGACTTTTCATCAGTTATTCTGCCCCCCTTCTATTCACATTGGTGGTTGTGTTTTTATACTGATATAAAGTGGTTTCATTGCTATAATTTTAATATGGTGTTTTGTTAGAACCATTGAAGCGTCTTGGTTTGGAGATGCACACAGTTTGTGGAGCATCTCATTGTCCCTTCAGGTTCTGTGTCTTTTAGGGTTAATTTCTCTATTTTCTAAAGTAATGTCAGCAGGATTTTGATAATATTTGCTTAATATCTTTGCCGAGTATTAAACTCTGTCTACATTGTTTTCCCTTTGATATCCTGTTGTGTGTTTTCAACACTCCACAGTTTGCATCACTACAGTTTTTATGTATTTTGAAAGGGCCACTGGGTTTGATCCTTCTCTCATAATTTTTTGAATTCTGTGGTTTCTCACAATTTTATAAATCTTAGGAAAATTATTCATTTATACAAAAAATGCCTGTCAGATCTTGGTACAAATTTTTTAGCATCTTTACAGAACATAAACATCCTTTTTTATTTCTTCACATATTTTCATGAGGACATGATATGCAAATTCGCATATCAAATGTAAAGCAAAGAGAGGCAGATCGAAAAGAGACTGCTGGTCCTTGGGTGGGACAGTCAGGTGATGAATGCTGCTACGCTCTGGTGATGCCAGGGAGTACTCACAAACTGTGTCCTTGGGGGGTCTCTGTTCGTGCACCAGCCCTGAGGTATTCATTTTCCTTGTGGTCTGTTGTTTTCCAGGCTACGAGGACAAAGAGAACAGAAGCATCTAGCAGGGTTCAGAAGGCTGTGAATATGATGGAAATAGCCTTCTGGGAGTCAGCTTCAGTGAGGCAGCTCAGCTCTATTTCAGAGTAAGCGAAATATATTTACATAAGATTGGGACAGCAGCTGAGGCATTACCTAGTTTGCATTTGGCAGTAAAGTCCTACCGTATAGCTGAAGCACAATATTTATCATACGGACAGGATGGGGGAGCATTTGCAGGGAACCATGTCAAAGGTCATACTTAGGTTAGGCTTCCAGGCTCAGCAACAGCTTCCAAATAAGGTCAGGCAGAGATCAGGAAGCTTTGCTTGAGGAAGGGAGTCCTCCGGTTGGCGCCAAGCTAAGAAGCTGTCTGGACATGGTGGACTACAAACTTAAGCAACAGAGCCCTCCAACAAGGCAGAATTTCTGGGGAGAGAGAGGAATGCTGGGAAGAAGAAAGGCAGATCTGTCAGCCAGCCATGGAGGAAGCAGGATGTACAGTATGGAAGAGAGGTAACAATACGCATTTGAGAACATAGATTAATAGAAATGGATTCATTTAAGTTACAAGAGGTAGTGGGACAAGCCTAAGCTAAGACCAAGCTTTCATAATACTCAGTCTTCATGTCATTATTTGGAGGCTGGCAATCCAACAAAAGTTTGACATGTCCTGTTACTATTGGTGCCCAACATGTGGCATGTATATCTGCATGGGGCCTGAAAAAGCTGAAAAGTGTTCCAAACGCAGAGTCAGATGTGGCTTCCTGGATACCACCATCTCTTGGGTTGGTCCAGTGCATACAGATGTGACTCCTTTAAGATGCCCTGCTGTGCAGCTGAGCTCTTGAATGGCTCAATACTACTAGATTGAATGAAATACTGGATAGAAACACCTGCTATAGCTCATGCCCAACAGCTTCCCAGAGCTGGGGCAGGTTCACGTGGCTTCCAGGCAATACCTGCTGGTGTAAGGCTCGGCTCTCACTGACCCAGAGGTAGAAGAGCCAGCCACTAGTGCCATGTGCTAAGTGAAGCCATGCCATTTAGGGTTTGGTTCACAATAAACCAGGTCCAGGCAGAGAAAACCTCTGAAATTACAGTATGCTTGCAACTGTGCTTATGCGCAGAATGATGAAAAGAAAATGGGCAGAGCCAATCACAGGGGGAAAAAAATAATAAAGTAAAATCTTTAAAGGGAGAGTAAAGCAATATAAAAAGAATAAGCCACATAAGGATGGGAAATATTAACACAGAGTTTGGAACTTACATGGTGTTGTGTGAATTTTGAATTTATTGAATACTAATGAACAGAGAACCACAGCTGCTAAGAGAGATTGGGTTGTGGAAGGGACTGCTGAATGAAACCACTCCATATATTTTAAGGATGTCTGAACTTAAGAATGGAAGTCAGGAAATGCATTGTGTTGGGGGACAGGTTATACCTTTGTTTACACAGGAAACAAAAAGCTGTGGATTCCTTCAAAATTAATAAAGATCAGATTTGCCCAGGTGAGAACTCCTGAAAATCTTAGATACAAACATGAAGAAGAAAAAAAAAACAGGAAAAACTACAGGACAGGTGAAATGTATGGTTCTCCCTCTGCATGGGAACAGCTCTAAGACTGGATGAGACACGGTAAATTTTGTTGGCTCTAGAGTCCTGACCTTATTACATTCCATCCTTTCATATGACATGGATAGACATTTATATTACAGTTTGGTTATGCAATCCAGATGGACTTATAAAGCCTATAGACGCCTTTTACCTGCTCAAACATAGAACAGAGAATCACCTTTAGCTGATTTGTGCATACCACATATTCCATACTTATGTTAATGCAGATATGTATGTTACCTTTAAAAGTTTGGGTGTTTTCAGAACAAAATGACCAAACACCAATAAAGACAACTAGCCCAGCTGATCCAGGCTCTCAGAATGCCTGTGTTGCAGTTTCCTCAAAAATCTGCATCCAGGACAACTTCAAAGAAGCTAGCAAAGATGATCCAGTCTAATAGACTGCTTCAGCCCAGCCAGGACTTCAGATATGATCTGCACTTACCCATCACACAGGGACTGAACAACAAATGATACAGTTAGCTCTCCCAGGAACTGGCCATTGTCTTAATTTTCTCAGAGTCTCCTAAAGCTGCCATCACCCCCAGACAGCAGGAAGTAATTTTAAGAACAAGATGCCCACATTCTCAAGAGGTGGGGTAGGTAGTTTTTCGTGATTTGGTGGGTTGTGGATTTTTGGCATTGTTTAGGGTGTTTGTTTGCAAGTTGTTATTAGTCATAGTAAGGGAAGAAACTAAGCAAGAGAGGTTGGATTCAGGTATTTCTGAAAAGAAAAATGTGAATGATAGGATAAGATGGTAGATTATTGAATCTACTTTTAAACCAAAAAGAAACTACTAGTTTCAAATATTTTACATTGGTATGGATTTTGGTATACAAATTTAAGATTATTTTTGTTACAACATACAGTATATATGTTTCTACTCTTGTTTAAGGTATTGTACTTATGTAGCTCTGCTGTGGGATGGTCTGTATGTCAAATGTGTTGCTGATTGGTCAATAAATAAATCACTGATTGGCCAGTGGCCAGGCAGGAAGTATAGGCAGGG